TCTCTCTCTCCCTCCCTCCCTCCCTCCCTCTCTCTCTCTCTCTCTCACACACACACACACACACACACACTTAAATAAATCTGTACCATACTTCCAATAGTATACACACCAAGGAAGATGACATTCTGAGTTACTAAATATCAACGACACTTCCTCATCTACAATCGCTTCACGTGGGGAATAGAAGACTGGAGGGTGGAGGGTGAAAGAAAAAACGTTGCAGTTTCAACATTGCCAAAGCTTACTTCCTAATTGAGTCTAAGATTAACTAGCAGAAAAAGAGACGGAAGGGTGCCATGTTCGCGTTTGCAGAAAGCCAGCTAGGGGACATAAGCACTACTTGTTCCCCTGGTGCAATGGATCCTGCCTACCCAAACTAAAAATCTACCCAAACTAAAAATCTACCCAAACTAAAAATCGTATGTGTGTAACACTAGGAATGCGTGTGCAAAGCGAACTGGGAATACATGGCAAAACTGCAAGGAAGAGGAAGGAGAAAAGCTGAGAGCCACATGAAAGCATATTCTTAACCTCACTAACAAGCAGGTAAATGAAAATTCAAGTGGCAGAAGAGCAGATTTTACTGCAGAAAAATTACATCTCAAGTTTAAAAACGTACACTAAAGAATCATTTTATACTCACAGGTATCCTGGTTAGCTTTGCAATCACCTTGATACACCCAGGAAGAGACAATATCAGTTGAAGAATTTCCACTATCAGATAGCCTGCGGGCATGTCTTTAGGGAATTTCTTTTCATATTTATGAATATATGGATAGGTGGTTTGCCTAAATGTATGTCTGTGCACCACATGTGTGACTCATGTGCACAGAAGCCAGAAGGAAACATTGGATCCTCTATAACTACAACTATACAAAGTTGTGAGCTGCCCTGTGGGTGCTGGGAATTGAACCCTCATCTCTGGGAGAGCAGCCAGTGCTCTTAACCTCTGAGCCATCTCTCTAGCCTCATGTTCTTGGTTGCTAACTGAGGTAGGAAGGCACAGCCCTCTGTAGACAGTACCATCCCTAGGCAGGTGGGCCTGGGCTCTATCAGAAAGGTAGCTGAAGGTGAGCCTGAGAGTGAACAGGAAACAGTGTTCCTCCATGGCTGTTTGCTTCCTCCCTCCAGGTCCCTGCCCTGACTTCCTGCTTTGGCTTCCCTTGATGATGGACTGAAACCTGTAAACCAAACAAACCCTTTCCTCCCAGACGCTGTTTCTAGTTGTGGTGTCTATCACAGCAACAACAGAAAACTTGGCAAAGTCTCCTCACAGCACGTGCTGTCTGGGATGAGGAGGCGCTGCAGGCAGTTTCCTATGATCTGCTATAGTCACGGTATCGGAGGGCTGCCGTCACTGCAGAAAAATAAATAGGCATGGACCCCAGACCCTGAAACTTGCACTTCAAGGTTGATACACTAAAGAAACTGGCGTCCACATGCAACAGAAAAGGTGTCCATACCAATCTACCTCATGAGAACAAAAAGCTACCCCAACACAAATATCCATCCACAGTATACAGCTGTGATCTTTTACAAAGCAGATCTTTTATAAATGCATTTCCTCCATGATTTCCTTGCATAGAATTCCTAAAACCTTTGGAATTTTCTAACTGATGGGGTGAGAGAGTTATCTTTTATAATTATTTTAATGAGCTGAGGGACTTGGAAGATGTAGGATGGCTGCCAGGTGACTGATGACTGGGTTAGAATTTTTCCTCATTCCTCTACCCTGACCCTCCCACACTCTAACCCATGACCTCTTGGAAAGGAAGAGAGGCTGAAGACAGATTTCAGGGGCACTCAAGAGGCTAGGGAAACAGGATCTGGAGTTCAAAGACAATCTGTGCTATGTACATACCAAAACTAAGTCTCAAAAAAACAAAATCACCAATAATTAATAAATGAGCTAATCGAGCACACATAATAAAAAAATTAAACAATAGAGTTTTGAAGAGTTTCCTTACAAGTGAACAAGAACATGTCCAAATGCTGGAGAATAGGAAGAAGCCCCAACTCCCACGGCATATGGGAGGTGCCTCCAAGCTCAGACCCTTCCAGACTTCATCTGTGTCATCTGGATATTGGTTTGTACATTTTACACACTATTTGTAAAAAGTTGGCACCTGTCAACTTTCCCTGGGAACCTGAGGTGGTATTCACGGAACCCTGACTATAGCCAGACTGGACAGAAGTTGTTGGTGACCTGGGGGTCCACTACTCACAACTGGAATTTGAAGTGAGAGCAATCTTGTGGGACTGAGCCGTCAACCTGTGAGGCCTGCAAGACTCAGTCTAGGAACTCAGTTGAGCTATAGGGCATATACCCAGAATAAAGAACTTGATTGCACCATTTTGTGTACATATCGGGGGTGGGGGGAGTTATCCTCTTTTTAAAAAATAATGAGGGAGATTTTGATCAAAGAATAAAGTTTTCAATTAGGATGACTAAGTTCAAGACATCTATTATATAATATGGTGGTGTAGGTAATAACATTGTATTCTTGAGAGATGCTGGGCTGAGGGGATAGTTCAATAAAGAGGACTTACCTAGAATTCATGAAGTTTTAGTTCCATTCCCAGCACTGCAAAAGGAAAAATGAAAAGGAATATACTAAGAGTATATTCTTAGAAGAATATATGTGAGGTAATGCATATGAAAATTATCAAGATTCAGTCATCCTACACTACACATGAACTTCAAAATAATCATGATGTGCAAATAAATACATACAAGTTTTCACACACGTTATATGTTCATGAAGGTGCATGTTTATGCATAGGTGTGCATGTGTGTGTGGAGGCCAGAGACAGCCTCAGGAATCATTCCTCAGATACTGTCCCCACATTTTTGGGGGGTGTGGGGAAGAGTCTCTGGCTGCCTAAGGAGCTCCAGGGAGCTGCCTGTCCCTGTCTCCAAGAGCTGGAATTTTATAGGTATATCTGCCACAACATCAAGCATGTTTTCTTTAATATGGGTTCTGGGGATCAAACTCACATCCTCACACTTGTAAGGCAAGCATTTTACCAAGTGCGCCCTCTCCTTAACCCATAAACACATGCGATCTTAACTGTCAACGTCTTTATTTGGTTGCTGGGAGAGGAAGAAATCAGTCTTCTCAAGGGATGAGCTCCCAGATAGGTTAGCCAATCCCAAGAGGTCAGCCCTAAACACAGAAGACCAATACTAAATGATCTCAGCAGGTTTCGTTTATAATTAGAGAATGAGAAGCCATGAATTTGAGAAGGAATGGGAGGGATGAGGGAGGGATGGGGAGTGGAGAATGATATATATACAGTACTCATATATGAAATTCTCAAAAAATAAATTTTAAAAACTTACAGCATAGGTAACTGCTTACAGTGCAACAGTAAATAGTAGCAAAAGTAGATAAAACACAGCTTCATGAATAAATGGATGAACTTCAAAAATACAACCTTAAGCAAAACAGCAAAGTAGAGAAGTGGACGTGCCACGTGAGTCCATTTGTAAAGATAGAAAAAGCAGCTAAAATTAAACATTATATTGTTTAGAAGCAAACACAGGAGGCAAATCCAATTTCTAAAAAAAAAAAAAAATGGCCAGAGAATGACAAAAACTGGCTAATTGTAATCACAGGAGGCACACAGATAAGCGTCTGATAATCAAAAGAGGAAATGCAAGCACGCTTGGGTATGATGATATAAAGCTCCATTTCCTAGGCTATGTGGATAGGGACTGACATTCATTTTACTAATTTTCCGTGAGTCATACAAGTACCTTTATTTGTGGGTTTGGGTGATGCTTTGGTTTGGTCTGGGGTCTCTTGCAGGAGGGTTACTCTATATCCCTGCTCTCCTCAAACTCACAGCCATCCTTCTGCCTCTGCCTCCCAGGTGCCAGGATAACAGGCGTACCCCAACATACCCAGCCATGCATTCATTTACGGGTATTTATATGCATGCTTCTCAGTTTAAAAACCAAAAACGAGGCTGGCAAGGGAGCTCAGTGGGTAAAGGTACCTGCTACAGCAGCTGAGTTCAATCCCTATAACCTAGACGGTGGAAAAAGAGAAAAAACTTCTACAGGCTGTCCTCTGACCTCCACAAGTGCACCATGGGGCACGTGTGTACATACACACACACACACACACACACACACACACACATCAGTGTAAAACATCTTAATAGCCAAAACCAAGTGCTTCTTTTTAAAGGAACTACCTAGTAAGTATGCTTGATGGCCTGCTTGTCCCTCCTGAGTTCCTAATGAAGTAAAACATCAAATACAACAACAGAAGAATTCCATAGGCTTGGAAGATGTTGAAGAGAATTTTAAGTTTTTAAGTACATTAATTGATTGATTGATTGATTGATTGATTGATCGATTGAGGGAAGCCTGTGCCACAGCTCAGGTGTGAAGGTCTCAAGGGAGATGGCCCTTTCCTTCCACCATGCAGGTCCTGGAGACCATACTTAGGTTGTTAGGCTTGACAGGCAAAGCTTTACCCACTAAGTCATCTCATTGGCCCAGAAAAGAATTTTAAATGGACAAAAGTTTTTGGCAAACTTCTGGAAAACAGAAGACAGGGTGGGAGTGTGCTGACCACGAAACAGGAGAGAGCCACGGTCAGCGGCCATGGTGGAAGTCACCTCCTTGGCAGAATCCCAGAAAGCTCTAGGTCAACTAACAGGTATCCACAGTACAGTGGTTTGAATGTAATTGGTCCCATAATCTCACAGGGAGTGGCACTATTAGAAGGTGTGGCTTTGGTGGAGTGGGTGCGGCCTTGTTGGAGGAAGTGTGTCACTGTGGGGGAGGGCTTTGAGGTTTCTTATGGTCAGGATACTGCCCAGTGAGTCAGCTGAGTTCCTATTGTCTGCAAGATATAGGACTCTCAGCTATTCCTTGCATGCTGCCAAGCTCCCCATCATGATGATAATGGACTGCATGTCTAAAACTGTAAGCGAGCCTCCTCAATTAAATATTTTCTTTATAAGAGTTGCCGTGGTCATGGTGTCTCTTCACAGCAGCAGAAACCCTAACTGAGACACATGGTAAAGAAGGAAGAACTATATGGGATAGGAAAGAGGGTTAAAGTGATGAGTGTTAACATTCCTACGACCTTCCCTTCTCTCTTAACCAAAGCCTGCAAGCAGCCGACAGAGGGTTAAAAGAGACCAACTATGTCAGCATTCATATCTAAAACAACTGAGCCAATTGTGCAGCAGGGAGTGAAAGGTAGATTCTGATGTGAATCTGGGAACACAAGAGCACTTTTCAAAGAGCAGCTACCTTACAACTCAGAAACTTAAAACACTGCACCCATGAAATGCACATAGGACACAACAGAATAAAATGATTGTGGACAACAATAGAGTATGATCACCAAAAAAAAAATTCAAACAGTATTATAAGAGTAAAGAAAGTTCTCGAAATGTGAAACCAAAACATAAAAAGTACAGGACATATGAAAAAAAAAACAGATTAATAATAAAGAGCCCCGGCAGGAGGCTGGAGAGATGGCTCAGAAATTAAGAGCACTGACTGCTCTTCCAGAGGACCCAGGTTCAATTCCCAGCACCCACATGCCATCTCACAACTGTCTGTGACTCCAACATCTGACACCCTCACACAGACATACATGCAGGCACAACACCAATGCACATAAAATAAAAAGAATTTAAATTAAAAAAAAAAATCCCAGGAAGGAGCCACAATATCCAACTGAAAACTGCCCAATTTCTACCTTGTAACGCTTTCCCTGTCCCAACCCCGAAAAAAATCCCTGAACCCAGTGTGGCTACTCCACCCAGGGTTTGGATCCTCTGGTCGAGTCCATCAAATTGAAAATTTGACTTATGAAAAACATAAGCTCTAATAAGTGCCTGAAGCCAAAAGATTATGGGGGTTCATTCTTCATTGAGAGAAGGCCAACAAAGAAGCAATGGAGAACGAGGCAGAGGGCAGGAAGGAGGACTCCTGCCTTGCTAGCCACTGCCCGTTCCTGGTGGGGACCTCTAATGTCGCTGAGCCTGAGGGCCGACCCCTCCATTTCTGTAAGGCTTTGGAGCGTTCTTCTTCCTTGGTTCGACCTCTGTTCTCTACAATGCATAACCCACACACATCTCCCGCCAAGGCTCCGCTCAGCAGCTGTGCAGCGAGCACGCCATCTTGGCTCCTGCTGCCTGTCACCCTGACAGCATTTTGTACAAACGTGAGCCGTGTGAGAGTGTTGAACATCATTAGAATTATGTGATCAAACACTCCTAATAATTAGCATGTCAAAACCCAACAGTAAATACACAGTGAATTTGATGAAATGTTCAATGAAAACGTGAAATTGTGGAACAATTAGGAAAAGGAGAATGTTAACTTGCCTTACAATAGGGAACAGGAGAACAAATAGTTGGAGCTTGAGAAAGAAAGGGAGTAAATTAGTGTCTTCTGTCTCCCCAGAGTTCTTTAAAATCAGCCGGGAAGTTGGAAAGCTGTGCAAATTTCTTTCCTGGTGACCTGCATAAATCTGATTTACTTATAAAGGGCATGGGATGCCATTGTCTAGATTAATCTGCACGGAACAAGAAAAAATATATATATATTCTTTGAAGCTCACAAAAGGGAAGGAACTCTTTTGCATGTAGGGAAGGTGACTCTTTTGCATACGGGAAAGGTTTCATTCATTCATCTCGTGCTGGATAAGCACAGTCAAACCCCAGCCAATGTCTAACAGACCCTCAAAGATGACGGAGCAGATGTGGAGGTGTACACTCCTGGGATAGGCTGCAGGCTTGGTCTCTGATCGCACAGGGCAGTGGAGCACTTTAAACATACTGGAGAGGGGTGTTCTAGTCTGCTTCCCTGCTGCTGTGATCAAACAATGACCAAGAGTAACTCAAGAGAGGAAAAGGCTTATGTGACTTACAGGTTTCATGACGGAGGGAAGCCAAGACAGGAACTCAAGGTAAGAGCTTGAAACAGAAGCCAAAGGAGGAAGCCTGATTCCTGGCTTGCTTCCTCTGGCTTTCTCAGCTACCGTTCTTACACAGCTTGGGCCACCTGCCCAGGGATGGAACCACCCAAGTGGGTTGAGCCCTCCTACACCAATTAGAAATTAAGAACATGCCTCACAGACTGACCCGAGAGGTTAATCTGATAGAAGCAATCTTCAGTTGAGGTTTCCTCTTCCCAAGTGGGCCAGGCTGATAACTAAAGCTGCCGATGCCAGAGTAGGAGGCTGGGGGGGGGGAGGGGGCAAAATGTACACATACACTTGATCAGCTGAATTGCCCATTTCCTATTTTTCCAAGCAAAGATAATTGATTTGAAGCCATTACGATTGTTAAGATATTTTAACAATTATGTTTAAAAGGATCTTTTAATACCTCCCAAAAGTAGGAAGGACTTGGTCTCAGAATTTTCTAGACCCCTTGAAACTTTCTGACATGGTAGAAAGGCACTTGCATCAGGCCAGTTTTACGCAATTTATCAGGTTTCATCCCAGCTTTGATTTATGACTCCTTTACTGATCCCCATTATTCCATTGTCCCTCAAAGGGCAATCCTAAGTTGGGAAAACAATAAATATTATGATATAATAATATTA